AAATATTAAGTAGCACAATCTCGATATCGGACATTTAAACATGATCAAATTTAGATCATAAACAAATATTGAACTTAAGGCCCTGTACTATCGAAGTATAAAACAAGTTACAAAACAGGATTTCAAAATCAAAGTTTTCATTTCCGCGTACTCACCACTAATAAGGCATATTTCCCCAGCCTCTTCCCGACATCTTTCGACGCAAAACCAAAAAAAGTAAGCATAAGCTTGCATGCCACCTTTACCCAACACTCGTTCATCGAAAAGTTCACTGTCAGGCTCTGATATGAACCCAGTCTTTCGGATCATATAAGGAGGATTAGTTACTATATAATCAAATTTAAGACGTTGAGGAGAACGCAGTAGCCATAAATTATTATATTCCCACGTAAGTTCTCGCTTTGGAAGATACAAGTTTAAAGTATCATTACAAAACAGATGTAAACGTGGTAATTTAATCTCATTCGAGTAGGAAATTTGAACGAAGCGTTTGTAAAGTGGTAGCATGTGTATCGTTATGTTAAGTTTGCAAAGGTGAAACGCGAACGCATCGATTTCTATACCCCATATATTTTCGGTTAAAGACTGAAGAAGATGGGATATTGCTTTTGGATCATGCCACACTGAAGGACATTGTTGTGCAGCAAGAGTTACTCGATGTATGAACTCGCAAAGAAAAGTACCTATTCCCATACAAGGATCCAGTACCCTTGGAGCTTGAGGATAAGTGCTCCAAGAAGATGACATTATCGAAGATTGACTAATTGGATAGCTCATGACATTTGATTGAAAAGAACCTCTAAGAAGCTTTTCAATCCATGTACCAGTTCCTCTACCTAGTAAAACACGATCCCACATGAACCTCATAACCTCCCTCGGAGTGTAAAATTGGCCGTGGTCCTTTTGATGTTCTTTTGCAAACACGTTTAAGAAATGTTTTGTATAAAACATTGACAATATAGATTCAGTAATGTCTAATGAAGAGAAATAAATTGATAATTTTCTAAAGCGGTCTGTAAGTTCATAATGATATTGAGTTTGAGGTAGTATAACCCCGCGGTAATACCAAAAGAAAGCTTCTAGATCACTATTATTTGGTTCTATTTCAACAGGTGAGGAGTGATATAATAAAAAATTGTCTGCATCATCAAAAATTTTCATGAACTTTTCTATTGATAAGTGTCTTGTAAACTGTCCTTCTTCACGCTCACACAAAAAATCCATAACGATGACATCAAAAAACAAATGGATCACAGTTAAAAAAGCAGCCATTTGGCAATAAAAATTAAATATGTGGCTATATAATTCTGCATCGGAAGATAATGTGATAGAAGTGTTTGAAGGGGAAAAGATGGAACGTAAGTGTTCTACGGTTTTTATGAGAGGGGGTTTAATGTTTGTAGGTTGTGTGTAAGAAGACTCGTTCACAAGCTTATTAAACTCGCGGATAAAGCTTGGTGGTATTAAATGATCTAGTCGGAAAATTTTTTGGAAACATAAAGAGAAGTATATTATTTATTTTATAAACACGCGTATTATAACACAAAATAAATCAAACAAAAAACAAAAAATTAAAAAAAAATTAGCATTTATTTCATTTATTTCAACTTAATATTTTATCATTCATAGGTTTTTGTAGATTTTTGTAGGTTTTTGTGGTGTTTTTTTTTTTTTTGTTTTTGTTCTTGACAAAATGGAAGAATATAACGAAAAGATACATTACCTTTATTTTGACTTAGGACAGTCCTCCATATATTACCTTTTACTTCTTCCAATACAGTTCCAAGAATCTCAACTATCTTACCGACTTGGTCTTCGGATAAAGTATTTGCAGAGAAAGACGGATAGTTTGAAGAGAATAAAGATTCTTGTCTTCGAGAAGAGTTTGGTGAATCACCAGTTGGAAATCCCTGGGCCGGATTTACAGGCTTGAAAACGAAAGGCGTAGCGAAGGTGATGTCAGAATTAGGAACCTTATGTTTTGGCACCTGAGAGTCTTGGAAGTAGAAATCCCAGGCTTCACAACTAGGATCCACCTCTTGTTTATTAAGAACTACGTTAAGCCAATCAGTTTCAGTACTTTCGACAACACCGTTGCTTTGCGACGTTATTCGAGCTCTTTTCGTCTGAGGCATGTCAACTTGCATGTCATCACCAAGGTTGCTAGCATTCGGCATTGGCGTCTATAATGAATGTTCTTTATTTTAAAAATTCTAAGTTAGAGAGGTGATCTTCCGAAGAGAGAGTCTAATGAAGATGGTTGTCCAAAAAGCCACCGCCTTTGTGCATATTCAAAGCCGGCAGGTAATTAAGGACGGTTCGTGCTTTCGCGCTGGAAGTAACGGTACTTATAAGGTCCGACTTCCAAAAATTGACTACTCGCACTTGCCGCGGGAATTGTATGTTTTAACG